CCCGCCCCATCTGGCAGGGTTGGGAGGGGGGACAGCAAGAAGACAGGCAACATCAGAGGCATTCATGGAGCAGGGAGGGAGAGGGAGGAGGAGGGGGCTCTTAGAGCTCTTTGAGGGTCTCAGAGCATCATTACCACCTTGCAGGGGCTCTGATGTGCTTGTGGTGGGACTCAGTCAGTCATTCGGTGAGTAAGGGGGCTCATTTCCCAGGGTCACTGCATATCTACGGAGCCCATCTGGAATTCACAGGGTCTCACCTGGGGCCATTCCCACCATGGGGCACTTGCAGAGCATCTCTCCTTTCCTTGCATATCTATTCTCACAAAACAGGGAGGAACTTGGTATCTTCAAGAGGCCCCTTCGTCAGAAACGGTGGGAGCAGGGGGCAGCAGTTTCCAAAGCTGCAAGGACGCAAACACGAGCGTGGCTGGGATTAGACTCATTTCTGTAGGAAAAAAAGAGGGAACCAGGAACCCAGGGGTGACAGAAGCCTGGATGGGAGACATGACTTAAAGCATTTCATAGGAGAAGGGACTGCTTTCGCGAAGCCAGGAGTCCCTCTGCTTTATTGCGCTGGGAGCCTTCTTTGGCCCACCCATCGCATATACGAGGGAAACATGGTGCTGCAGTGCCCTGCGTCCCCTCCAGTTTGCAGCTACTGCTGCTTGGCACCAAGTTAAAATATCCATGGTACCCACATGTCATGCTCCCTCGCTGAGGCACGAGGAAGGAGACAGCTTTTGCTTTGGCTCGGTGGCCATGCCCATTGCTTTGGTGTCCCCGGTTCAGCCGGGAGCCCTCTCCCAATGCCTGTGTGTCAAAGAGCAGTTAGCAGCATGTGGTATCACCAGCAAACTCAGTGATGCGACACAGTGGGAAGAAATCCAATCCTCGTGACCTCCGGGCAGCGCTATCTCAGCGGGGAGGCAGCATGTGATGCATCCCACCCATTGGTGCTGCCCAAAAGCAGAATATGGGTCACTCGTCTCTGCCGTACCACACTAGCAGGGCATGATGCCCTTTAGCTACCCTGTGGTGTTAATGCTGCTAACGTTGGGCTCTCTGGTTCTTCCCACAGCTGGCGGCTCAGGTCCTGGAGCCCAGGAGCATCGGCTTTGGGATGGTGGACTCCAAGAAGGATGCCAAACTTGCCAAAAAGCTAGGTGAGTCTCATGTCTGATATCTCTGGAACAGCTTGGGGAGTGCAGAAGTGATGCCCAACAGGCAGCCCTGGAGAGGACAGCTAAATCCTTGTCACCAGGATGAGGAGGGCGATGGTGGCAATTGCACACTGACCACCCCAACACGGGAAGGATGAAGTTGGGGGACAAGGATGAGAGGGGTGAACCAACACTCTTCCAGCAAAAAGCTTCCTGTCTGAGAGTGCCAAAACAAAACCAAACCAAGTGAAAAAGAAAGCCAGTTCATGCCATAATGATGATAGGGTGGAAGCTCACAGCTTGCTGAGCAGGAACTGTAAATAGGTGTCATGGAGCAGCTCCATGGTCTTCCTGCACAGAGACAGGTCTGACACAGCGAGGCAGAACCAAAACCTACAGGGATATCACATAGGCCCCTAAATATCACCAGCCCCATGGCGGAGTGACCCCCAGCCACTAATGGGGGAGCCACAGCCTTGCAATGGTTCTGCAGCTAGGTGCCAGCCCTTCCTGACTTGCTCCCCAGAGCAGAAGAGGAAACCTACTGTAAAGGTGAAAGGCTGCTGTGTTGCCCACCCCTGGAAACAGCTGCCTTCCAGGTGTTGGTGATTCGTTCATATTTTAGCCCACATAGGAATATGGAAATACTATGGCCCATAAAGACAACAGCACATAAATATGCCACTAGACTTAAGGTCAGACTGTTTAAGCATACTGGACTCTATACTGGACTGTAATTTTCCTTCCTAAATTAGAGGCTAAGCATGCTGGTGGAAGCTAAACTAAAACTGAGAGCTTCTGCCTCTCCAGGAAGGAACAAACTACCAACCACCTTGACCCATGGTACCCTGCCATCATGCATTGCAGGAGCTTAGTGCTGCTGATTTTGGAGCCTCCACCGAGACGCTGTGGCACCCAGTCCTCAGTCCAGTGATATACCATTCAGATCTGCCAGGCTGCCACCCGTGGCGTCTCCACCATAGGTTTCTAAGCCTTTTGCCAAGGCTAACTAAGCCGCAGAGAGTTTGAAGCTCGCTTTGGCTTCCAGCTCACTGTTTATCTTCACATAGTTCAGCCTTCTCTGGGCAGAGAGCAACAGCCCGCATCAAAATCCATTTTCCATCTAGTGTCAGGTTGTTCAAATTTGGGACGTCAGTTAGAGGCCGGTACTATTTACTGCAATATAGATAGCCCAGCTAAAACAAGTTCCCAGTGCAGAATTTTTCCAGCTGACGCCAAACTGTCACCTGAACGAAAAAGTTCAACATTTGGGAAGAAGCTAGCAAGAGTTCTGGCTGAGGTCTGTCCCTCATGCCGTGAAACATCAGTCAGGAGATTGCTCGGGTTGTTTCTCATGGGGTCAGCTCAGTGAATCGGCAGCTGCGCTTTCCCAGGAGGTGTTGCTAGAGTTACAAGCAAGATACTCTGTAGTAAAAATGCTTTTAGTGACGTGTTGACCACGTTATGGTTCCTGTCTCCTTCTTTCAGGCTTGGTTGAAGAGGGAAGTCTCTATGTCTTTAAGGAGGAGCGGTTGATTGAATTTGATGGGGAACTGGCCACGGATGTCTTGGTGGAATTCCTCTTGGATGTAAGCACAGATAAGCTCAGAGCTAGATAAAGCCTCTTAGAGAAGACCTTGCAAATACTCACTTTGCTAAAAAACGCGGGTTTATCTTTATTTGAAATTCCATCCCTGTTTGCTACACACTGGTAGAGATGACATTTGCCAGCTTCCCAAATACTTGTCTGACCATGAGTTCCAAGGAAAGCTGGTACCTTTATATGCCACCAACCACTTATATCTTAAAGACGTTCTGCTCTCTTTCTTGTTTATGGAGTATTTGACTGGAAGCAAGCAACAATCCCACATAACTAACTGCTAGTCACCCATCTCAGCTAGCAAGCTGTCCTGCACTTTGCCATTTGCAAAATATTTCAGGGTTGTTTTTTTTTTTAAAGTTATTTAAAAAAAAAAATATCCAAGTAACATTCCCACAGAGCACCTAAACCCAGCTCAATTAATTGAAAAAGGTATATGCTGCAAACAATTTGCCCATTTCTAGACACAACCGCACAAACAACACAGTGTACTACTGCCTCTTCAGTGAACTTGCTGAATTGCACTGCCATGAATTAGAGAAGAGCCTAGGACTTAGTGCTCTTTGGTCATTTTGTGCACGGACATAAATATGTACTCGCTCTTGTGGCCAAAATGCAAAAAAAGATGCTGACTCCTCATCAACGTGTTGCACTTCTCTCTCTATTTTATTCCAACAGCCCAGAAGTTGGGGCTCCCTTTGTGAGCAGCTGTGCAAAAATGCAGATAAGGGAGGGAAGGCAAGCAGCAGAGCTGGCAGGGTTTGTTTCCCAGGGTGGCAGGTTGCCTAAGTGGTGACCTGCAGTGCAGGAGTGCCGGTGGCAAAAAGCACGTCTGGGGAAGAGAAACAGCTCCCAGGACCTCATCTCTCCTACAGCAATGTGGCTGCATGCATCGGGTACTGCGGCCAAAGCTCGTGTAAGTGGCTTCAGGGACAGAAGCGGGTGTCTTGCACCACTCAGGAGGGCCACAGGCAGGGCAGGGCTTTGCTGTGACCCCAGTAGTGGTGGGATCCCTGGTTCCTGTGGCTCAGGCCACTGCGGCAGCAGGGAGCTGGCCACGCTGCTCTGGAGACAGCAGAGGCGCAGCCACACCCTGGAGCATCACTCGCAAGGCGCCTTGCGAGGTTTTTGTTTGCCGTGCTTTGCGGTGTGCCGCTGAAAAATCATGTTCTGTGAACAAAGGAAGGGAGCAAGGATTTCTGTTTGTGTCTTTCCCACTCAAGAGGGACAAGAGGGAAAATACCCAGCAAAGCAGGGAAACAAAACCAAAAACGCATCTGTGGTGCCTCGGCAGCCCGCTCTCAAAGGAAAACACACCCAGAGGTGCTCTATGCCTCTGTAGGCTGGACTGTGTGGCTAGCCTGCATTTTTTTTCTAGTGAAGCCACACCTGGTTTACACCAGTATTGCTGGGCAAAATGATCAGACCAAATCTTTTCAGTTAAGAAAAGAGAAACAAAGTTTAGGCTAATGACAGGCTGAAGCGGCAGAGGAGGATCGGCCAGGAAATTTCACATCCAGACTTTCCACTGCTCCAAAACATTGTCTGGCCGCACTCGAGCATGCTGGGTCTCATGTTTTCCGAAAGCAAATTCTTTGCAGTAACCTCTTCCAGCAAATTGCAGTTAAAAACAAATGTATCCTTCATTCACAGAAGCTCACAGTCTCCATACCAGGCCCTTTCAACTGCTCTCCCTTTTCCTCAGCCACTCTAAAGCCAGTTGCAATTGCTACCCCTTGTCTCAAATCACAGCAGTTCCCTCAGCATCCATTTGGGTTACCCAGCCCCCTCTCAGCTTCCTTCTTGATGCTTCAACCTACGCGGTGAACCTGCTAAGGGCTCCCCCTGAAGGTGACCTGCACACCTCGGTTCCTCGCATTAAGGCAAAGAGCACTTAGTAGGGTTTCCAGCAGCAGAGAAATCGGGTGAACCTCTTTCCCCCCACTTAGGCTGCTAGTGACACACCCTGCCAGGCATAGGTTGGTGCTGCAAACCGTTGCGTTATCAAATGCATTTGTCACGGCAGCTGCTAGAAGACCCTGTGGAGATCATAAACAGCAAGCTGGAGCTTCAGGCCTTTGACCAAATCGATGAGGAGATCAAACTCATTGGCTACTTCAAAGGAGAAGATTCTGAACGTAAGACAAATATGTTCCTCGTGGGGCTTGGAGCCTGGCTTGGGGGTGCTGGGGTTGGGCATTGGTTCTTCTGCATGAACATTAAGGGTGTTAGGAGTATATGGCAGGCTGTGACAGTGCCAAAATTGCTGGAGGATGAGGTGGGATTGCAGGCAAGTTTCTGCTGTTGCTATGCACAAGCCCATTCCTACACCGAGAGCACCTTCTGCAAGGTGTCTACTGGCAGAAGGGGGCGATAATCCAGGGCCTCCTGAAGTGAAGTCAGTCTACCTCACCCAAAATCAGCTGAGGTTACAGTTACACTGGGTGAGAACCTAAAGGGAGCAAAACTCCCCCTCTTATGAGCAGTGATCTGAACTTTGCAAACAGAGCAGCAGTAAGCAGGACACCTTAGGGCAGCCCGGCAGAGGCACTGACCTATTTCTCCTTGCTGGACCCCCAAGACTGAGAAGAGGCTGGTCCCATGCTCTGAGGGATGTGCAACTCAGGGACCATTCCAGGCAGAACCATCAGCTTTCATGACTCTTGAGAAGCCTTGGCCCAAGACTCTCCCCAGCAAGCCCCAGCAGCCTCCTCTGCCAGCCCCAAATGCTCCCCCTGCTCTCCGGGGGGTGCTGGCAACATGCACCCCTCGCTTGCAAGGCTTGCCTTTTGCAAAAAGATGGGTATTCCTACCAGAAGGAGAAACATACCACCAGGTCTGCTGCACTGCAGCAGGCCCATCCACCTCTCCCTTCACCTTTCTCACCCACACAAAATGGGTTGCAGGGCAGCTCAGACAGGGCTGTGCCACTAATGCTGTTCATTAATAAGTATTTTGAAGAAAGGTGTGAAATACCTGCTATAAAGAGCTCCCGTCAGGCTGAGAGCACCATTCCTAACCCCAGCTGAGGATCTGATACCAGTAACCGTAAAAACACGCCTCGTTCCTGCCCCCTCCTCCTGCGGCAGGAGCAGCGTGCCTGACCATGCTGGGTGACTGTTTGGGGAATGGCAGCAATCATTAATGCCGGAGCAACTTTGTTTATTTCCCAGGCTGAACTACTGCTTGTGCGAGAGGGCAGCTGCAAACACCTTTATCAACGGGCTGGAGTTGTCACCCCTGGACTTGGTTCGCAGGGCTGCTGACTTCAGCCCCAGTTAAGCACGGCATGCCGGGACTGGTAGTTTTCCTGAGCACTGTGAGGCTGCACAACATGTGTCCTCTTCGCTCCACACGAAATGGCCCTTGTTTGCAAACCCTGGAAGGGTGGAAGAAACATAGTGCCGTCATCTGATGCATTTTGCAATAATTTATATTTGTCCTTCCCTAGTGCCTTCTGTGCCGATCAGAGCGTGGCCAGCTGCCTGTGAAATCTCTTCTTCATTCCCCTTTTCTCCTTCCAGATTACAAGGCATTCGAAGAAGCTGCTGAACATTTCCAGCCGTACATCAAGTTCTTTGCCACCTTCGATAAAGGGGTAAGCATCCACAGACCTCAGTGTGGGAGCTCATGGCCTCTACCACCTGTTTCCCAGAAGCTCAGGATGCTCCCAGGTTTAATATCTGGCTCCAGCTTCAATATCTGGCTCCAGCTTCTCATTTTCAGCATTCCTGTAATTTGTGGTGTTGGTGTCCGCATTTGGATTTGGCCCTGTTGCAAGATAAAAGGCCATTGCTGCAACGTGGAGGCAGGTCCTGGTCTGGGTTCAGAAACCAGCCCCATTAGATTTGCCTCTGGCCTTGCTCTGCCCCAGTGCTTCGGACCAGTAGTGTAGAAAGCATCAGTGGTTTTTTAACCAAGCAAAGATCCATTCATATCTTGTTGGCCATCCCTAATGAGTGCATGCTCTGAAAGAGAGCAAGCACCTTGACCTCAGCTCTGCAACCAGGCAGGACTCTGGGTGGGCAAAGCAGCACATCAGGCTCACTCACCTCTGACCATCTTCACTGCAACAGGTTGCCAAGAAGCTAGGTCTGAAGATGAACGAGGTGGACTTCTATGAACCTTTTATGGATGAGCCTGTTCATATCCCTGATAAGCCTTACACAGAAGAGGAGCTGGTTGAATTTGTGAAGGAGCACAAAAGGTATGCAGCGTACGGGACACTCCTGGCCACGGGAAGGGGGTAAATGTACCTGTCATCGCAGGCTTGCCCCTCTAGGGCATCCCTCTCAGTAAAAATCAGGGTGATGACCACCTTTTGGCAATTCGCTGACCTGTGTTTGAGATTTTGACCAGTCTTTTCCCACTCCCAGAGGTGCAAGCATTTGTGCCACAGCCAGCCCACCACCGTGGGTCTGGGACAACACAGCTTCCCTCCTCCTCCTCCCTGGTTAGTCCTCCCTCAAAGATCAGGGAGGCTTGCAAGCAGTGGAGAGCAGAAACCTTGCCCTACTTGCCCATGCTTTTCATTTATGTCTGTACAGAAGATTACCTTCTCTGAGGCCTCTCAAGACAAAACCAAATTCTGCCCAGTCCCCTTCTTCCCCAAAACAGCTTCACTAATGGGTATATCCCTCTCCTGATGTCAGGTACATCTGTAGGCAGGTTCTGAGCTCGGACCAAGCTCGGAGGAACAGTGATGGAGTAAGAGGCTCCCGCTGACCGCAGGTGCAGAGAGGAAACCACCGCTGTTATGGCTGTCTTCATCCTCATCTGCAAAGGTGCTGAGCACCTGCAACATTTGATCAAATCAGTGGGAGCTGTGGATGCTCTGTGCTTGTTGTGATCAGGTTTATTGCACAGCTGTTTCGGGACTCAGCCACCAACAGCCTGGAAGCGACTGGAAAGATTGATCCCGCGTAAAAGCACAGGATTACATATCAGGGCACAACTACCTATGAGGTGCAGTATTTTTACACCCTTAAAAATACAGCACAGGGTAGTCACGCAGGCTATCTGCTGCTCCTGCAATTGCATTTCTCAGCAGACATTCAAGGGACCAGAAAAGAGTTCAAGACAAGCAGGGCCATTGATACTGCTAGGGGAACCCAAATTGGGCTGAACTGGAGGTTTGTGTTCACACGCAGAGGGTTCAGAGACAGGAGATCATCTCCAGAGTCTGCGAGTCACCAGACTTGGAAACAGATCTCCGCTTTTTCTGAAATATGAAGGGGTCCTCTATCTCCCATGTACTCGCAGGTCACTCTGCTGACCTCCTGGCCTTCCTGACCTCAGTCCTTCCCATCTTTTCTCCCCAAGCTCCTTCTGTCAGGCAGCAGCGTCAGGAGGCTGATTAAGCACAGCCAGCTAAGTGCTAGCCTAATAAGGCAAGCTCTCCACCAGCACAAGACTACACTGGAACCCCCCCCCCAAGTCTTACATATTTCAAGATGCTGTGTTGTGCGTGGTAGGAGGAAGGGGTTGGGCCATATATTTTGCAAGTGCCAAGGCTCAGAAGGGAATTCAAAAGAATCTCATGAAATCAGATGCCTGCAATCCCAAACCTGCCAATGGCAGGGGAAAACCCCTGGGGTGACAGTGGTATGTTCCCAGCAGTTAATACTGGGCATCTAGGAGCAGAAGTGCTTCTTCCCACCTTGCCACTGGTGAAGGACCTAAAGCCAAAGGCTGGAAGTGGAATTAGTCAGACACAGAGATGATCAGGCCTGTTAGAGAAAAACAAAGCAACCCTGGCAGCTGCCATGTGCTGGTTCCCTGTAGATAACCTGGCAGGATCTTCTGCTCCGCAGGATGGTGTAGAGGACCACTTGCCTCCTTCCTCTTCACACAGCAGACTTTCTCGCTTGTCGTGGTTTAACTCTGGCTGGCAACTCAGCACCACGCAGCTGCTCGCTCACTCCCCCCCTCCCTCAGTGGAATGGGGGAGAGAATTGGAAAAAAAAGTAAGACCTGTGGGTTGAGATAGAGACAGTTTAATAAGAGAAAAGAATTATAATAGTAATAATGATAATGGTAAGAGAATATACAGAATATACAAAACAAGTGATGCACAAAGCAATTGCTCACCACCCATTGACCGATGCCCAGCCCATCCCGAGCCGCGATCACTCTCCCCGAGCCACCATCATTCTCCCCCCCTGAGCAACTGACTAATTCCCCCCAAGCATGACGTTCTATGGTATGGAATAGCTCTTTGGTCAGTTTGGGTTAGCTGTCCTAGCTGTGCTCCCTCCCAGCTTGTTATGCACCTGGGCGAGCAGGAGAAGCTCAAAAAGTCCTTTAGTAGTCTAAGCAATACTTAGCAACAGCTAAAAACATCAGTGTGTTCTCAACATTCTTCTAGTACTAAATCCAAAACACAGCACTATGCTAGCTACTATGAAGAAAATTAACTCTATCCCAGCCGAAACCAGGACATCACTTCACTGCAGCTGGTAGGCACAGACTATCCCCTCCGCTGAGGTGCAAAGCCCTGCTGCCACCTCTCCACCCCGCAGAAGGAGACCCATCGCATCACTGGGGAAAGCTCCCAGTGCTCAGCAGTACCCCAGCTCTTTGGCATGCTTTGCAACCGCCCTTCCAAAAAGGGCTCCCCACTGCTGTGCCCAGGCGGGCTTCACCACCTCTTCCTCCAGCCCTGCGTGGAAATCGAGGTTTGCTGAGCTCTCACTGCAGCCTCCAGAGAGGAGCTGAAGCGGGTGCCCAGGAGGAGCCCACAGGCAGCCTCCCTGCAGATGCTTCCCCAGGCGGCTGCAGGCAGAGGTGTTCGTCCTGCCTGCGGGCGGGGGTTCATCCTCTCCGGAGCAGGTCAGGAAGGCAGTGCTCGGCACGGAGGGGTGACTCGTCCGAGGTCGATAGGTGTCCCGCTGGGGATGGTGGCTGCGTGCCGTGACTCTGAGGTCTCAGCCCAGATTTTGCTCTCTGTTGCACAAACACAGATTACATGGTAGTTCATCTGCCTGCAGCAAGAGGCCTCTGGATTTGTGCCTGTTTCGCGTGCAAAATGCCGGGGGCCGACCCCCCCACCCCATTCTCCGTAATTGTGGTGTAGCGATGTGGGGGCTGAATTCTGCTCCCTCTTAGTCACCTAAACCCCACTTAGCTCACTCCCTCCAGCACCGGGGAGTAACCGGAGTAAATCCCAAGTAACTCCACAACAATGGGTACACGTGGGTGTGATCAAATCCTTCCCACCGAGTTTCCTTTCTCCGAGAGCTGCCCCCAGAGAATGGCTAGGGAAAGCATCTTGAAAGCCAGGTACAAGTACATAATATGCATTCATCTGATAGAATCTCCAGTTTCTGGCAATCAGCAATGGGGAGACTTGCTGGGTCAAAAATTGTATCCCTGATCATGTGCTTAGTGGCTATTTCTTCAATTTCTATAGTAATTTTTTACCTCATTTCTATTTCGATGCTGAAAGCATCCAGTTGTAATGAGCTCAGTGGCTGAATTATGCATTCCATCAGAAGAGCATTCCCATTTGTTCAGTTTATACCTGCCACCTGATAATTTCACTGTGTGCCTACTAGCTCTGGTGTTATGAGGAACAGCGACTAACCACTCTGTTTCACTTTTTTTTTTTTTACCTGATTTTTCAGACCCTCTGCCAATATCCTCTTCATTCACCTCTTTTAAAAGATAAAGAGCTGTCATCTATTTAATCTCCCCAAACAGAAGTCATTCCCTACCTTCGTTCACCACTACCACACTACCATGTTCTTTTTTAGTTGTCCCATATAGTTTCTGTGATGGGATGGCCAGAACGACAAATACATTCACTCTGGAGGTGCATAGTGTAGCTGTCCATTGCTGTAATGGTATGATGTGTTTTCCCAACTGTTTGTAAACTCCTTTCTGCCTTTTGCCTGTGGAGCTGATGCTTTCTCAATTTGTGACACCCGGGCCCCTTTCCTGAGAGGCAATAATTAATTATAACTCATTTATGCACCTGTATAATTGGGGTTGGTTTTCTGCAAGTGCATTACTTCCTATGTCTACCATGCAGACACTCAAGTCTCAGGAGATCCCTCTGTAATCTCCTCATGGACAGGCCTGTGTTGGTTGTCTGAAGAATTAAATATTATAAGGAAACACTGCCATATTCCTATTTCCCATCTTTTTCAGATTATGTGAGAATATGTTATGCATATGATCATGCTAAAGCATATGCTATGAATCTTAATTGGTTAATTCCCTCTGTCGTGAAAACTGACTGTTCATCTCCACCCTTCACCTTCCAATGTCATTAATTCACAGAAGGTCCTCTGTTCTGATCTAACTGCAGCTTAGTTTCTCTGAGACCCTTTAGTAAGGGACCTTGTCCAATGGTCCTCTGAAGGCAGCTCACTGCATCGACCAGCATACTTTTGCCCACTCATTGCCCTGCTCTGAGAACTCCAGCAGATCCACGGCTGTGATTTTCCTCTTAAAGGCCACGTGTCTCTTGTCCTATCACGTCATATTCCTTCAAATGTCTGTTAACTCTACTTGTTCTGGTAGCATCGTGCCCATAAGGAAGTCGTTCCTCCAGATCTGTGGCTCCACAGGTCCTTTAAGAACCTCTAAAAAATGCTCCTTGTTTCCACTGCTCTGGTAGTGAGGCAAACTGAAGCAACGGGTTACGCATCTCCTTGATGCCACCTGGTCCTGGCAACATGCAGCTACTCCCTTTGCCAATTTGTTCTAGGACCTCATTGACCGACACTTCTCTTTGAAACAGCTCCTGGGGCTGGTCTGCCGGGGAGACTGGCTCTGATGGGGCAACCTCCTTGAACACCTGGTGCCAGAGCGAGCAGAGGTGCAAAGGATTACTTGTGCTTGTCTGCTATGGCCTCGTGTTCCTTGGGTGCCCCTTTAACACCGCAGTCACCTCTCAGCCTGCCAGGCTCTCTGGCAGGCTTCCTGCTATGGATGTGTCTGAAAACATTTACTTTTTTTTTTTTTTCTGTCCTATATGAACTACTTCTGAAAAAAAATTTGCTTTGGCCAGTCTTATGGTTTAAATTTCCTTGCCAGTGGTTATTATGATCTAAATTTTCTTGCCAGAGGTTATTCTGTCTTCTTTGCTTCAGCAAGAGTTTGGAAGGATTTTTATGGTGGAATTACGCTGGGGTAAAACCAGGAGAAAAGGGGAAAAAAGCCCAGTAGGAACATCCCAGGGACTGCAATACACAAGTGAATGGGTCACCTCATGCTCTCAGCACGGACAGAACAATCTGCCATGTGTGGGACGAATTCACCAGCGTGCCCCAGCACAGAGAGGCATCTCATCTTCCCAAGCACAAATAACATCTGCAGTGACTCCAGCAGGGGCAAGGGCAGGGTTTTATCACCATAAATAAAAGCATAAGTTGACCTACTGTGCCCCCAATCTTGCATTCAAAATGTGGTGGCTGACAGCACTGGCTCCAGCCACCAACCAAACGTGCCATGGTGACCTTTTCTGTGACGCCAGCAGCATCATTGTGGTGGTGCTGGATGCGTCCTCAAAGAGCGTTTCTGTCTTCCTTTCAGGGCCACCTTGAGGAAACTGCGCCCAGAGGACATGTTTGAGACATGGGTAAGCATGCACGGGTGGGAAGCCTTGCATCCCCTGCTAGTTTCCAACAAGAAACCACTGCTCAAAAGCTCCAGCCTCTAGCTGGGCAAAATATTATCTTTCCTTCCTTGCAAAGCCACTTTCCCTCCTCTGGGAAGAAGGGAAAGCCTTGGCTATGATGCCCAGTGCCTGAGTTCAAATGGTGTGCTCAAATGCTTTGCTCAACAGCGGTGGACAGCCGAGCTGGGTCCTGTTTGCTCCACAGAGAGAACAGGGAAAGCCAACCAAGTGTGCCAGGCGGGTGTTGAACCTCTGCAGTGGCCATGATAGAGCTATGGAGAGCATCCTTCCCAGGGATGCTCTATCTTATCTCATGGGCATCAACGCTGGTGGTGGAGCAACTTCAGTGGCCTGCTTGCTGGGCGAGGTACAAAGGTTGTACCAAGCGGAGGAGTCATGGAAATCATACCAGAGCAGTTGCACGATTCAAAACACAAGCGAGGGCAGGCAGTTCAGTTAATGATATAGATTACGGAGCAAATTGTGCATTGATTGCACTTCTCGCCGTGTGCGTGAGCTGCGAGTCGGCGATTGTGAAGAACTAACCGGGGGTTTGGCACCGATCACACGCAGAGGACTCTCGTGGTCTGCAAGTGTGGGGGAAAAGGGGAAGGGTGGAAACAAAAGAAAAATAATGTATAATAAACTATGCCTTCGCTGTGAGTGAGCACGATGTTAATAGCCAGCCAGGGGCCTTCAAGTGCCAGCTGAATGCTGAAAAGCAAAGCTGAACAGGTGCTTTGCAGACGCTAAGGAAGATGCAGTCGTTCCTCCAGAAAGCTCGGCACATTTATAACAGCATTCAGTTGCCTCCTTGCTTGGCTGCGTAACACGAAACGCTGCAGGACTCCGAAGCACCAAAAACCTTGGGAGTCTTTAATACAACAAGGCAAGAGGTAATAAAACTGAATCAGGAGTTATGAGTCACTTAGGCACGATAGCTTTTCATTTTGTTTTGAAATACAGGTTCTGTATAGAAGATAGCTTCCCAGAGCCATTTAAATCCCTCATAGTTTTTTCATGGGGCTTCAGTGGGACCCAAATTTCACATGCAGTGGTTTTGCCTTTATACTGAATATATTCTAAAAGAGCCTAACATTCTAAAAGTGTGAATTGTCAGCGAGGGGATGCTCGCTTTACCAGCGGCCTGGGAATGCAAAGCTTGCCTCTGCTACGACCGGGGACTCGTACCTACAGGTGATAACGGGCTGGATTCTGATCTTGCTACAAGTTCAGAATATCCCCAGTGCCTTCACTGGAGTTACTCCAGTTTTGTTTGCTGCTTTGGAGGTCAGAATATAGCTTGGTTATGTAGCTATATATATAATTATATATCGCATATACTTTTTTTTTTAATTGGATTTTGCTGCCTGACAATGCTGTGGACATATATGGAGAAAAAGAAACAGTGTAGATTTTTCCAGCTGTAAGTGGTCTGAATCCCAACTAAATCTGACTAGAATGCCCTGGTGAAAACGTATTCCCCAAAGACACCAGCAAGGGCCCAGCATCTGCTATTGTTTTTAAAGATAATGTTTTCCACTTAATCTTTCAGGGGTTTTTTTCCTTTCAGTTTTTGATGGTGGCTTTGCCACCTCTGGGCTCAGAAGGGAAAAGAAATTAGCATTTAGATGGGAATTTTTTCTTGCATTAAAACCAATTGAAATGGAAACCGGGACCGGCAGTGACTGAGGAAGGCGAAGCTGATCTGTGGGATAATTCAGAGATGACATTCATAGCAGGCGGATGATGAACCGGCCAGCAGATCCATTGGCCTTTGCCAATATCATTACTCATTACTCATGTGTCTCATGGAGAAAAGCAGTCCACCACTCTGTCATTTCTGTCCTCCACTCATTGGATCCCCGAAATGAGCCTCCCACTCAATTCCTCTTGCTGCTCATGGAGACCCTCACCTAAAGCAGAGACCCTTCACCTCCTGAAAGGTGTCCACATGAGCCACCTTGCTGCTCATGTTGTGAGGAAACCTCCTTTGCTGGCCCTGAAGGATCACGTTTGGGGGCTGAGCATGGTGGCAGATATTTGTTTCCCCACAAACCATCCCTTGGCAGATGGAAATTTATGGGGGTAGGTGGCCTCGGGTATGGAGGGTGAGCCCATATTCCCGTGCTAGAGAGCCCCTGGCCTTTTCTGCAGGCAAGGTTTTGCCCCACACCATCAGAAACTTCCTTGCCTTTGCCATCATGATGCCCACCTCATTTTTAGCTGAAGGGTTTCAGCAACGCTGCCCAAACTACCTGCTTCAGCGCCTAATGCCTCCATGCCTCGGCCTCACCTCAGCTCCCATTTCTGGTGCCTTGGTGGGGCTCCAGTCGAGCTCCCATTTGCAATCGTCCTGTTCATTTGAAGGCATCCCACTGCTCCTCGTCTCCAGCAACCACCCAGGCTCTGTCCTCCCCCCTGGCCCATCAGTAATAGTTTTGTTGTTTCCAGGAGGATGACATGGAGGGAATCCACATTGTGGCCTTTGCCGAAGAAGACGACCCAGGTAGGAGGCCGCTTTCTTCCTTGTGTGACTACTCTCCATCACTCAAGACTGTGGAGTTTCATGTGCTTGTTTGCATTGTGGAGCCCCACTCCCCGGCCAGGATGGGGAGTCCCAGCCTGCTGGGATGGGGAGCTGGGATGCTTCTGGGTGTTTAGGCTAGCGGGTGTGCTAGCCGGGAATCAAATTCTGGATATAAAGAGATGGCCGGCTGGGAAAATAAAGTCATCCCCTCCACCCCAGCGCCAGGATTTGCTCCCTAACTCTGCGTCCATCTTGCTGTGTGGCTCTGGGAGAGTGCTGAGGGCTGGGTGTGCGATGTGCATGCGGGAAACCCGTGGGCATCAGCTCCTGAAAAGCCGTGGCATCGGCGCTTCTCAGCACCATCAGCATGCCAAAAAGCTTTGGCCTCTCGGGGGCTCAGATCCTCCCTCGACACAGGAAAATAGTGACATTGTTCCACTCCACGGAAGGATTACGGGACTTAATTCATGTGTAACTAATTTCAATAACCGGGGAGGACGCTCGAAATTAAAAGCCTTATTATCAGCAGAAAGAGCTGGGAGACAGCATTTTAATGAGAACCATAAACAACCCCTGTGTGCATAGGGGAGTGAGGGAAGTTGAAAACCCCGCAGGCGAAAAGTGCCTGCGTGTTTGCAGGAGAGGGCTGCAGCCGTTCATGTATCATTTCAGATGGTTTTGAGTTCCTGGAAATCCTGAAGCAGGTTGCCAGGGACAACACCGACAATCCCGACCTGAGCATTGTCTGGATTGACCCCGACGACTTTCCTCTGGTGAGTGCCAGGGGCACCTTGCCTTTCTTGGTTTAATTCATGGACGGGTGTGGGTGTGGGTGTTTGCATATGCAAGAGTGCAGGAATTGCCCCAGTGCAGGCGCAGGATACAAAGGATGGGAAATGGGAACACGGGTGACCCCTGAGAGCTGCTCGTTCGGGTCTGCCTCCCATGAAGGCGGCGTCTTGGGACCATCCCCATAGCCGGCACTTTCCTTTGCCGCGTGCGGCGGCCCAAGCTTGCGCTCAGCCTCTCTTCCCTCCCGTGCGCTCACCCATGCATGCTCCCTGCACTGCAGCCTGGCCGGCCGAGTTAATGCGGCGGGGCGTTGCAAATGCCCTTGTCTGAGTTTTGTTTCTCCCTCTTGCAGCTCATCACTTACTGGGAGAAGACCTTCAAGATCGACCTGTTCAGACCACAGATCGGGGTGGTGAACGTCACAGATGTGAGTAGCACGTGCCCAGAAAATCCAGCGATCCCAAGATTTGGGTGCTGGAAAGGACGGGATCTGAGGTCTGCTGGAATCAGTGGGATTTCTGTTGCTAAGTGGAAGTAGACCCGGCTTTTTCTCTGGGAAAAAGTGTAAAGCCCTCACTATTCCCACACGCAGCTGGGTTCATACCAACTCCATCATTGGGCTTCAGGGCTTATGGTCTGAGCGTGTTTCTGCTGCTGAGTCGCACGCAAACCATGTTTGCTGAGGGCAGGACCAGCCCCTGTGTTCTGAGCTTCAGGGCTTTGCCTGGTTTTGGTTTCAAGGCCTCACATGTCCACCCCAAGCCACAGCATGCACCATTGTGCATCCGCTCTTACTGAACCTGGGGGGGCTGGTGGGGGCAAAGTGTGTGCATGGAGGGGAAAGCAAGCTGTGCTCGAGGGAGGAGGAGAAAAAGGAGGGTGCTTTTGCAGCGGAAGCAGAGCGGCCCAGCTTGAGTGTAGGAGGGCAAGATGGTCCCCAACAGATGACAGGGAGAAACGGCATAGCTTGAAAAAAACCCAAATAAATACACAGCCTTCATAAGAGTGTGACATAAACTGCCAACAGAGGGATCCTGCTGGGGTGAGGAGGGTATACTGGGGTTCACCCAGACCCTCCTCCTCCTCAGCCACTGCTGCACAGGTGGTGCTGGAGGGATGTGGGTGGGAAGGGAGAAGTGTCCACCCCTTCCCCGATGGCAGTGAAGGGTTTCCACACCATCCCGCAGCCGGTAGCGGTGCAGAGGGAGAGCTGCACCAGCAGGGGCTGCTTCGGCAGGGCTGCGGTGGCCATGGTGGCGGCGGTGGTGGCACCCACAGCACCCACAGCTGTGCTGTCGGGCCAGCTTTCTACAGCTACTCTTCTCACCATGGTTGCCTTCAAGCCAGCAAGCTGATGTCAGGTTGCCCACACACTGCGAGCTTTTAAGGCAGGTGGGAGAGGGACCCATCTGACCCCCCTGAGCAGAGATTTGGGGAGAGCTGCTGAGCGCTGTGTCACGTGCATCACGGCCCTGACATGATGACAGAGAGAAACCACTTTTCCTCTGTCTGACAAGAACAGCCCAGACGATCAGAGAGCACGTAATGCGGCGCGCTCCAGCCCGGCTCACCTTACTTTATTTTTGATGGTTAAGCACTGGGTGTTTTAATCTCTTTATATTGAACCTGTGTGGGTAGGTAAGTGACCCTGGAAGCAGAAATCTCTCCACTGCAGAAATGTTTGTAACTTAGTGCTTGACTTCATGTTTGAAATTTCATCTCTGCAGGAACCTGATGTTTCATTAGAAGAGAGCAGAGAGGGACTTAGAGTTGGGGCAACTGTCCAGGGATGGGCGCTGGCCCTGGCTGCACCAGCGACCTTGCTCCCAGCCCCCATGTCCTCTCTCCTGTACCTCCCCAGAAAAAGAGGGACAGCAAGGGAGTCCTGGGCGATTGTGCCTCCTGTTATAACAAACCCTGCAAGACTGTAAGATGGGAGACGTGGTAGGGAAGGCAAAGTGATGGTGTTCTGAAGGAAGTGGAGGCCCTGGATCTTGCCTGTCCTGTCGAGGGGAATGAGTGGGAAGCGCGCAGGCTGGCTTGGGAGTTTCGGAGTAGATGCAGCCCTGGCTGGATGTGAGCTTTACCTGTAATAGCACAGCATCCACCAGACCATGGGACAGACACCTAGAGAGTGGGGACCTGGCGCGCTAAGGCTTGTTAGCAGAATTGTTAAGGAAGAGACAAAAGGGAAGAGGGCCGAGATAGCATCTGTCACCTAAAATCATGAGAGAAACGAACAGACAAGCCAGAAACAGAGCCCAACTCTTCCAGTCTTTTGCCCTTATTACCAGCCCGCAGTCTCTCTCTTCTTTATAATTACTGCAGCTGGCCCTGTTTAAGTCATATCAAAGCTACATTAAACAGCTGTCAATGAAAATCCATGGAAGTAGGATTGTCAATGGCAAGAGAATAGTATAAAAAGCAGTATTAGGCAGGAACATGTGCCTTATTATCCAACAGTCACTCAGAGCCCTGTAAAAACTCAGGCATTATCTAGCTTTGATAAAGTAAATGTTTCAGGTTGTCGATTATAGTATTTGCAGTTTTTACTTCATTCCTCTTAAGTCTGTTTTCTGTTCCTCAAGAGAGAGATTTAAGAAAGTTCTAGGTTGGCGGGTGATATCTAAAACAAACACTGAGCTCATTTCGTTATTTCAGTGTTACATCACTGCATTCAGCCAAGTTACACAAGTACAAAGTGGGGCTTACACAACGGAGTAAAAATAAACACTGCTGTTGGCTTCGGTGGACATAACCCCTGTGACCCCATCGCTTCTCTAAAAACCTGCCAATACAAACACCAGAGCTACCAGTGGCCCCCACTGGTCCGTCACATCATGGTGGCTCAGGGCTGGGGCTATAACACGCTATAAAGCATTGCTGCTCTACTTGCACGGCATCTTCTCTGGATGCAACGGGCCCACTCCTGTTCCCCTTATATAAAGGTGTCGCTTTTTGCCACACGAATGGTCCTGAGGTTGGGGACAAGATCATTTGCATGAAGCAAGAGCCTCATGCCTCTCTGTGGCTCTTTTTTATTACAGTTTTGGTGTTTTAGGAGGAAAATATTGTAAGGGAAGAACAGCTTTCCCCGAGCAGAAATTGGTCCGTCTTTTTAGCAAGCCATACACCAAAGAGAATTAGGCACCACAGACAGGGAAAGAAGCGGGGTGCATTTGCAAAAGCCGGTAGTTATCTTCCAACATGTGAAAAACACTTGTTTCTGCAACATCAAACACTGCATGAGAGAACCTCACAGGACCTCTGCAAAACAGGAGGCTGATCTGAAGTTGCAGGTTTAGGTTGGACATTAGGAAAAATTTCTTCACAGAAAGGGTTGTCAGGCTCTGGAATGGGCTGCCCAGGGAGGTGGTCGAGTCCCCATCCCTGGAGGTATTTAAAAGATGGGCAGACGAGGTGCTTAGGGACATGGTTTAGTGGTGGGATGGCAGGGTTAGGTTAACGGTTGGACTTGATGATCTTAACGGGCTTTTCCAACCTAAATGATTCTGTGATTCTATGATTTTATGGAGGGGAGACAGTGAAGGGAAAGGGCCTTACCCAGGCATTTACCCAGGGAACCTATAACAAAGTAGGGAGAAACCCTTCCATTTCCAAGTCTCAGAGACCACCTAAGCTATGCTTCCTGACCCTGGCTAATAGCTGCAATTTAGACAGCACCTTCTCACTGCATTTTAGACAGCATCTTCTTACTGAATCCCCCCCTATCCCCTCCAGTTTATGGAAGTCATGCAGAGAGGTGGAGAGGAAGAGCAGGGGCCACCTGTAGTCCAGGGCACTGGTGTTTTTCACCATTCTTCAGCTGGAACATGGTTGAGATGATCTGAGGAAAAGGCTCTTCCAAGAGGAGCAACTGCTATCCCATGTGGGGAGCCCAGAACAACACCCTGAGGCAAAGGTGGGGGTAAAAGAGGCCAGGAAGAAGGGGTGCTGAGAGCAGGGTGTAAAGGCTCAGAGGAAGAGGTCCCAGGAGGGCTCTGGAAGGAAAGATGTGATGTCCTGTGAAACAGGGCGATGCAGGGGGAGCTGGCACAGGTCTCCCTATGCTCTCTTTACGTAGACTTGGGCGTCTACAAAACTGGCCAGATGGGGTGAGGGCAATGCATCAGGTGGATGATGCTCTTGCTCACAGGTGCAGGCACTGGAGGAAAGGAATAGGCACTACACGCCCATGTAAACCCAGTGACCAGGTCCACTGCCCCTAGTCAGAAGCAAGAGCTCTTCAGGGGAGGTGGTAATCCTGGTGCGTGGGCAGAGAGATGCTGTGCCCACAGGCTGTGGCAGAGAGGGAGCTAATGCCACCACCACTCCTGCATCCCCGCCTGTGCTCCCACCCTTACCCCCCCAATAGCAGCGAACCCGACCTCTTCCCTGTGTCTCTGAGGGTGGCTAATCCCCCATCACCTGTCCCCGCAGGCTGACAGCATCTGGATGGAGATCAGAGATGACGATGACCTGCCCACGGCTGAGGAGCTGGAGGACTGGATAGAGGACGTGCTTTCTGGGAAGATAAATACCGAAGATGATGATGACGATGATGACGACGACGATGATGACGATGATGATGATGATGACGATGATGATGACGATGATGATGACGACGACGACGACGACTAACTGTGACTCTGTGCAGTTTGACTTGTGGGGGCCGAGAGGCCTCCCCCCGCGGCAGGTCCTTCCATCGGAAGACCTGTGCTTGAGCGTCAGCAAGCACCGCTGCTCCTCTCCCGCCCCTGCCCCGTTCCCCCTGACCCTGCCCTTGCCGGGACCCCCCTGGCCTGATTCTCAGTGGTGCTGAGCCACCGGGACTGCCCCTGCGGCGGGCAGCGCCTGCGGGCACCCAGCACCCCTGCAAATCATGCCTCTGTAGTAAAGGACGATAGGAATCTGCAGGGAATCTGCCCCCGGTGCCCCAGGGCAGGAGGAAAGTGCCTGCCCGCTCGCAGTCAGAGGGACACAGGGAGCCAACCCATATTTTCCATGCTCATCGGCCCAGCGCTTAACATCCCAAGACCAAATCTCACTTCAAGACATAGGGAAGGCCGCCATAAAGTTTAGTCCTTTTATTAAACGCAATGCCCTTTGCCGCTACTCTGCCAAGACCACTCAATCCTGCAGGTTCTGCTGCGGGACTCTGTAGCTCCTTGTTAACATGCTAGGAGCAGCAAAAAGCTTCGGGAGGGGAGGAGGGTTTTAGGGATGCTATTCAAGTTTTCGGTGATTCCACGTAATGACAGGATATTCTTGTCTGGCAGCGTGACACAAAACCAAACACCACGGTCCCTGTCTGAACCTCTTTCTTCTTGAAAGCTCAGGCCAAAGATAGGGTAGGTGCACGTGGTCTGATATGGGACATCAAAGCCTGTGAGTTCCTGATCTGCTGGAAAGGCTATATCCAGGTCTGAGCCCAAACTCTTCAGGCTGAAAATCATGGCGCTGAGCCAAACCGTTGGTCTTAACCCCAGAGAAACACCAGAGCAGACCACAGGCCAGTTCCAAACATGTGCAGCCAGGTCTGGGCCGGGCCTACCTTGAGGCCTACCTCAGCAGGATTGAAGGTGGTGCACGTGAGATAGACAGCACACTCCTGCCAGTGGAAACACTCATAGGGGCCCACCCTGAAGCCTTCCTACTTCCCACAACCTTCCAGCTTCAGCTGACTTTTAATCCAAAGCCTACATAGCATCTTTTTCCCATGACCAAGATGTTGGGAGGGAAGACATCCATCCAACCATATTAGGTGCTGGGTAATGAGAGTTGGGCAATGAGCAGTGAAAAGGATTCAAGCTATCTGTCTTTTAAGTATTCAGTTGCAGAGTTACTCCCTGCTTAGAGGCACGGATGTCCCGTGGTAGCCCGCGAGAAGCCTCTTTGGACTGCAGGCTGAGGAGGAGCTCGGGGCACCAGTTGGCAGTCAAGGGGGTCACTCACAAATCAAAGGGTCAGCAACTCAGTCCTGGCAAGGGCAGCACCATCCATGTGCAGGTCACTGCGACAGCATTAGGTCTCCCTGCTTTCCCATGCCGGCAGATTTCAATTGTCTTAGCTTATTAGGTTTGACAATAGTGCAATGAATGGAGAGTTCGGAGATAGCGTTATCTTTATAAATACATTTATAAATACGTTCTCCAGTTGTTCAGACTTGTTAGCATAGGTAGGGTACACACGTCCTCTCTCGCTACAGACGAAAAATATTGTTCTGACCTTTCTTACACTGGCTTACATCAGAGGCAAGTGATGTTAGGGGAAATAACAATGCGAGGGTCAGGAGAATCAGAGCTCGTTACACAAATGCAAATCAGCCTGATGAGAAACAAGGTTTACACGCTATATATTTCCTTTATCAGATGAACTGCGAAGCAAGATTTTATAGGGTTTTTTTTTCCTGCCTGTTGATCAGTCTCTTTGACTCTCTCTCTACATTAGCTGGAATAGAAATGTGAAACTACTGGTATAAAAAAGCTGAAGTACTGATATATTCCTACGTGTGCCATGTCCCCTTGGTGGAAAGAGACAGCATGAACAACACGCAGCTGGCTGTCTATATACCTCTATGTATAGGAATGAATACTGTGCTTATGTGGTATATGACTGTAGGCCATGTTAGCTCCTCATTGAACATCAAACACTTAACCTGTGCTCCTCAGGCATTGCTTATTAGAAGAACAGACAGGACAGCAAAGCCCCTAGGTCAACTATTGTCTTATATATAGTTACCCTTTCTTGCTTCTTTATGATGGATAAGCACTGCCCGGAAGACTTGAACCAAGTGATTTTGGGGAGACCGTCCTGCCTGGTCACATTGGGGTTATGAACAACCCAGCCCCGTCCCAGAGGAGCTGGTGGAGACTTTCAGAAGGCTTGAAATGCAGAGTGCTGTCAGACCAGAGGTCCCCTCCTCTCCTTCACACACCCATCTCTCCTGGCCAGAGGGGTGCCCAGCACCTTCCTTCTGCTCTTTCCTTTCGGCTGCTTCCTCGAGAGGTTTGCCAGAGGACCCTGGCTGAGAGAGAGGGGGAGCAAGCGGGACTCAAGGTCTCATTGATGCACATGGGTAAGGAGTGAGAAAAGGAGCAGTTTAGTGAGTCCCCTAGTCTTCGATTAAGGGACAAACACTGCTTATCTCACTCACCTCAGCAAAGTACTTGTTTACCTTGGGGCTACTCCCAGGAGTAAAACATGCACAGTTTCACCCTGCGTAAGGTAACAGCCTGCCCCGGCCCTGCAGCTCCAGACCAGTCACCACAGAGTGCCATGAACTCCTGTAACCATGAAGAACAAATGAAAAGCTGCTCCACTGCCTTTCCCAACTGGCATTGTCTCCGGACATCCCGATTGCCCGGGTACTCTCCGTGTACCTCTCCTCCCGCTGCAGATGCCCGTCTGTTCTGATGTGCCCCTCTCCAGATGCTCTGAGGGGCACGGCTTACGCAGGCAGAGCAGGCAGACCCTGCAAACGGCACCACGGACGCGTTCAGCTGCACGGGTGTTTCACAGGCATGTACGCATGGCGATGCACCAAGCAACAGAGCTCGGGGGGAAATAAAAGCGATAGAGGTAGAGGTGCTTAGGCTTATACAGAGGCCGGAGAGGCTGAGCTCATACCGGGGCTGGTGGGCTGGTGTCGGTAGCTTATGGAAAGTTTCCCTTGACTTACGAGAGAGGGGGCTACTCCTATGGCTGGCGCTCCTTCCTGGGGCCCGAGCACGG